TAGCAAAATCGATTTAACCATGTCTGTTTGTCGGCTGGAAACACGATTACAATTTCAAAAGTTTGCGTCAATATTTTTGTTATGAATCTTCCTAGCTCCAGGGCAAGCATGATTTAAATTTACACAAGGATTTGATCAAATCTTTTTCTCTATCAGCGAACTGCATAAAGAATAGATTTAAAGAGATATATGTACACACACATATATATAGGTATAGATACCATATATCGTATTACGTCCGTACGTCCGTACGGCGACTGGAATTATAAACAATGAGAACCACGATTGGCAACACGATTATTTAAAGTACTATTAACAGTTTGAGAAACTTTAAACAAAAAATTTCCATTTATAAGAGAATAGTCCTATGAAAAAAGGGGAAATTGTTTTTTTTTTTTTTGGTACTTGCGTACACGTCCATGGACCTCCTCATCACTTGACGAGAATAATAAAAAAAAACCAAGAAAGGTCGAGGAGTGTATTCGTCCATGCAACAAATCAAAGTGGATGCAACAAGGCGGACATTCTTGAGTCTAATCCGCTGTTGATGGTGATCAAGGCATTTATGCAAATCTCATCCTTACTTTGCACGCTAATTATTCTACATTCGAGTTTACACGCTGTTCACTTGCTGCTCATCATTACTCTTCTTATATGCATCGCACTAATGTCAAAAAACCTTCCGCGAATTAAATTGAATTGTCCATGATCATCATTTCTATGCATTAAGCTGCCTTCTCTAAACTTGATTAAATGCAATATTTTTATTTATTATGTTCAGTTTGTGACTGAAAAAGCACTTTCGACTTACATAGCAGATGGGCGTGTTGTCTGTACATCACAAACTTAACGTCAGACGAGTGTAAAAAATTGACCTTGGAAACTAACCGTTTTTCCATAATTTCATTTTCTCAATTATTCATAGCTACCTTTCCCATATACAGGAACTTTTATATGACATAGGTACCTGGCCTAAATAGGCCAAATGCCTACGAAAGCTGATAATATTTGCATGAACAATTTTCAGAGATTCGTTTCTTTTTTTCATTCATCTGATCTAAAATAAAAAAAGTTTAAAGGTTATATATATATATAAAAGAGTGAGAAAATGTCGATTTTCTTCATTGAAAATTTAGGCTAACAATTTCTAATAGCAAATAATTAATGGCGATATTACAAATTAAATGAGAAAGTAATGTTAAATGCAACGCTGAAAATAAATAATTCAATGTGAAATTAGATAATTAAAAGTAAACAATACTGAAGGTGTAATTTATAACAGCAGCCTTATTGTTCAGTCTCATAGAAAACTTCAGACTCTTCCGTAGATAAGCACAAAATTTCTAATTTTAATTACATATGTAACATATATATACACTTATATATATATATATATATATATATATATATACAAGCTGTCTTCATTAATTTTATTTATTATATTTACCCTCTCTCATATATGTATGTATAACAACAGTCATAATCTATTCTTTTCAAAAGAGCATAAGATTTTATGATCGACGTTGTTGTTTGTTTGTGTTCATAAATTTTTTTTTTTTTTTTGTTAGAAAATCAAATGGAATATGTTCCCAAATGATGATGATGATGAAAAGGTTCTCATGATAATTAGAATGAAAATCTTGCTAATTACATGACAACAAACACTCATTGCTTACGACATTTATATAGTTTATCATTCTAATTTTAAATAACAGTGATTACAGGGATGATGATGCAATACCATGAGCATACAAACCAATATCGGTTTGAATTCGTAAACGCGCTATACAAATTGTGCGCATACATGTGTATATAAAGCCCATGTGTGGCAGGTTAGAAAGTTTAAAAAATTTTGTGAATAAATTACTTGCTATGCATGTAGGCGAACCCGAATTTGATGACGCCATCGAAGTTACACATGCATGTACGTATATATATATACGTATATGCAGCACCATTAACCTTGAGTTTACAACAATAAACCAATTAACGATACTAAAAACCAAATCTACATGAAATTAAGTGAGATTGGTTACATCTTGGAAATATTTGCCCACCGAGCAGGAGTGCCAATAAGAATATCCATTCAATCTTTTCTTTTTTTTTTTTTTTTTTATATTTTATATTTGACCAATCGCTCAGGGGAAGCACATTATTTATGTCGGTAACGTTGTGGTCAGCAAAGATAGGTACGTTGAGGTGGGAGGAGGGACGGACCAACTTGAAAGTGAAAACATCTCGAACGACGGGTAAGACGTCTACAGATACGATACACCATAAGCATGCAATGTGATTAAAGTACGAAGAGTCGCAATTGTGTGTTGCACGTCTACGAACAATTACAGTGCGGGGGAATAAGAACGCTAAGAAAGCCTAGTAATTCTACTGAAAACTCAATTAACAGACAAATCTCTTTTATCTCTCTGTAAGACACTGTACACCTATAGAAAAGCGCCGATTGGGGGACAAATTGCTTATACCTCTATAAAAGATTGTTTACATAGAAGTAAGCACAGCACGGCTTACGTTACACCGACATTTAAGAGCATTGAGCTTGTTAGACACAACAATTACCGGCCCATTAGCGTTTGTACCTTGACATGTACATGATCAAAAGTGCCAACGCAAGATTTTAATACCCTTGCCCATGAATGCGTATCGTAACCAGAATATCAAGAGTTGCTTTCTTCTTTCTTTCATCTGCATTGACACCACACATCAAAGGCAAGATGACGCTCATCGCTCCTCATTTGCGATAAGGAACATCAACATATTTTGTTGGCGTTAAAGTTTCATCTATTGATCGGTTCCATTCGCATATTTGGATGAGGCCTCGAATAAGTACGTCAATCGTGACAGAAGTCAACGCTGTAGGGTCTTGTATTCCGCAAATAGCAGTGGGTTTTGTCCTCGGCAAATAAATAAATTAAATTTTCAATCAAGGCTTTGACGTTGTTAATGAACAACAGGAGTAGACAGGAGAAAAGAACGAAGCCATCAGTATTTATGCATTTAAGGGTAAATTTTGTATTAATTTATTTACAATAGGAGTTTGCATGTATTTTGATCAGCGACATCTATTCATGAAAATGATAAAGTAACACAATGTGGCAATGTACACAACAACCTTTCTCTGCATATAACAACAATTCTTTATTTAATATTATTGAGTTATTCCGTGTATGCAGACGCTATTCATGGCACGCTTAAGATTTGCAATTTCGAAGTGTCGTCTGTTCTCTTTTCTGACCTAATGTCAATACTGTGAATAGCCTGAATATGGCGTCACCAGCCACATTACTAGTGAAGCAATACCTGCATTGTATGATTGATTTAAAATGGCAATACCTACTGAAAGGCCCTATAACTACACAGACAAATATCCATAGCTCCGTTTGACAAGCTAGAATGTTATAGATGAGCATCGACGACCGTTAATTCCTCTACACCAGAACGCCTAATGCAATTGCTCCAATATTGGGCGGGTGCTGTGTAATGAAAACCTTGGAAGCATTAATTCCTCGAAAAAGGATAGTGCTTGGATGGTCTACCGGAAGAATCCAAAGGTAAGAGTGGCTACGGCTACATATAGACTGGTATTAGTTCTACAATGTGGCAATGTACACAACAACCTTTCTCTGCATATAACAACAA